ATCTAGCTGGGGTCATCTAAACCCAGCACTCTTTCCTGCCTATGCAGGGGGTCGGACTCGATGATCTATTGAGGTCCCTTCCAACCCTAACATCTATGAATCTGTGAATCTATGACACAGATGAAAAGGATTGGGGAGAGCGGGCAGCCCTGGCAGACCCCCGACTATTGCGATCCACATGCTCAAGAGCCCATTGACCAGCATCTCGCTGCTAACATCCATGTACAGCATCCTTATCCAGCCGGTGAAGGTTAGAGGGACACCCATGCACTTCAGTGTCTCAAAGAGAAACCGGTGTGACACTCAGTCATAGGCTTTTTCCAAGTCCAGGTTCAGCACCGCTCGCTTTTGTCTTCTGTTCCAGCTGGAGAATGTCCCAGGGTGCCCTAGCCTAAAAGATCTTTTTCCTGGCCTCCCGATGCCAGGCACCAATCTGGGTCTTTACCTCCCGCATGTCCTCCCTTGTATCCCAGCATGCTGCCGCCTGCCTGTGCAGGTTCTGTAACTTAACGGGTCAGGTGCTCATGCTGCCTTTTGTGGAATAAAGCTCACTGCTTGCCAGCCTGCTGGAAGAAGCCTTTGGTCCTGTCTTTGACGCTGGCCCACCACTCTGACTGATTTGGGTACAGGACCTCGAGGGTCCTCCAGCCTGCATAGTGCTCTCTGAAAATGCTCTGGGTCTTTTCATCTTCCAACAGACTGGTGTTTAGCTAACACACCCCTCTGCCCCTTTCCAGCTGTCCTTCCATTTCTGCCTGGATAGTGAGGAGGCAGCAGTCCAAGAAACAGACAGGCATGGAGTGGCCTTCCACCCCTTGGGGATGAGGACAAAGTCTATCTGCACCTTGGTTCCCCCTGCCGGGTCCACTCGGATGAAGTTCCCTCTGGGGTCTTGGTCTCCTTTCCCAGTGTCTACTAGGCTGTGGTCCTCGATCAGCTGTTTCAGTAGCCTGGAGGAGGTGTCTATGCCTACCCACTGGGTGCTACTGACTCTGTTTGCCTCACTGATGACACAGCTGAAGTCACCTGTGATGATTACCGGCCAGCATTGTTAGAGGCATGTTTTCTAGGAACTTGCACCTTGTCTTTGCTTTGGCTAGTGTGTACATGCACAGCACCTCAGAAATTGTTCCATTTGCTTGCATGGTGGCTTGCAGCAGCCTGCCTGCAACTATTTCTCTTTGCTGCACAGGGTGCAGTGTCTCCTTTCAGCAAGATTGTGACCCCAGTAGCCCTAATGTCATCCGCCCCCAACCACAGGGCTGCCCCATGCGGCTAGTGTTTGGAGAACAAAAAGCTGCTGGTGTTACCCTCTGGTCACCTTGAAATCCACAGGGAACCCCTTCCTCTTTGCTCTGTCCGCTCCACCTCTGGCTGCTCCTCCAACACTCATGCCTTTCTTAGCAGTTTCTGGATAGCTTCCTGCCATCTGGGGCTCTTGGACTCCTGTGTCACCTGGACACCTGGAATCCAGAAATGAGAAACAAAACCTCCCCCCTCTCTCCCATGCTCACGTGGGCAGGAAGAGCAGGGGATCACCCACTCTTTAATAAAGGGCAAAACATTTGTACTCTCTATGCCACAAACTGAACATACCCGTTCATCTGAACACACCCACAGACTCCAGCAACCAGCCTGCTCCCTGCACCCAAAGCACAGGGCGGAGAATGGAGGAGCCTGCCAGGGAGGCATTGCAGAGTGGCTGCAGTTTAGGACTGCTGCCATTTCCCTCTAGGAACAGCTCCAGGTCATCACCCTACCCCCAGACTCATGAAGGCCTGACCAGAGCGAGCTGGGCTCTGCTCTTCTTGCCTGGGGGGCTGCTGTAGGGAAGAGAAGGTCGCCAGGCAGGCCTCAGACATCTGGGAACACAGGAGCCCAAATGCAGCCAGGCTGCACTGCACCCTATTTAATGGTCCAATGCTTTGGGCCAAGGGATCTTGAAACACGGGCTCCCATTAGTCATTGTGCGCACTTGCCACTGTCACAGCAACTGCCCTGCAAAATACTTAACAAAGCTGGAAACCCCCAGGGGCGACGGGTCCTCAAGCTTACCCAGTACTAGGCAGGTGCTTTTGTTCATGTTGAGCATGGCCCCTGCTGCTGCTCTGTCTATACCTGGGTGTATTGTAGTGGTCTTTCCACCGACCCTTCGTCCCTTCATATGATGTTCAGGTCAGGCATATATGTGAGGACTTTGGCCTCCTCCTCATTCCTCCCAGGGATTTCCACTCCCCTTACCCGGGGGTCCTGTCCCAGTCGTTGTGCTAATGGTACCATTACACAAATAAACAGGATTGGGGAGAGCAGGCAGCCCTGCCTGATGCCCGACTCGACTGCAATTGGGGCTATCAGGGACGTTGCTGCTCACGCTGGTGTGTAGTGCCTTTATCTGGGTGACACAGGTTGCAAGCACTCCCAGACGGCAAGAGGCCCCGACAGCGCGCTTCGACCAGTTCATCTCCTGCTTCAGGTCTGCACTGTGGAAAACCAGGAACCTGCTCACAAACAGACAGTCGAAGACTATATTAAAATGGGACTGAGTGAAATGGACTGGTGTTACAGGAAGACAGAAGAGGACGATGGGAAAGAACTGGCAGACCTCATCTGATGGAGAGGGGTCTGGCATAGACTTTTTCAGGATGAGGCCCTCTGAGGAGCGCAGTTGGGGCACGGGTATAGGGATGGGTGCACGGGAGTGCGGTGAGAACTGCAATGGGCTTTTAGCGTGCTTTGAGCTGCCAAATGAACCACAGGGGTCACTTGGCAATGTTGGAGGGGAAGATACATAGCTATCTATAGAGATACAGGCAGTCCTCCAACTTACAACACAATTGGGTCTTAAATTGAAATGTAACTCAGAACCGATTCTCTCATAAGAAACAATGTTAATAATGAGGGATTGGTTCCAGAAGCAGGGCCCAATAAATACCCTATTTTCACCAAAAATACCCCAGAATTTTGTACTCGATCAATTATAGATGAGTGATATAGCTACATGAATGTATTTATATTGTAAATAGCAATCGTATTGATTTGGAAGGACTTTTTTGAGGTGACTTTGCTGGACTTTTTGAAGGGCTCTTGGCTGGAGTCTTCTCAGGAGTCTCGGCTGCAGGGTTTTTTTCTGGAGTCCCGTCTGCTTTCTTAAAGAAAGTGTCGGAGGAAGTTTGGACAGATGTTCTCCAGGGAGATCTTGCGAGGTCCCTTCCAGCCCTAATTATGAAATCTGTGGGATGGGTGACACGGAGAACTTGTTCGCTGGCGTGGCGTCGCATCGGAGCAAGCGTTGTACGTCGAAACTGACGTCATACAGGTGAAACGGGGTCAATTCAGAAACGCGGTAAGTGCGAAAGGTTGTAAGTCAAGAACTGCTTGTATAGAGAGAGATTTCCCAAACAAAACAAAACAACCAAATCCAAGGAGTCTTTAAACACCACCTTCGGGGCGGCTCTGGCATCCTTCTGCATCTTCCCCGGTTGCTCACAGTCACGGGCCTCTCCTGCTGCAGCCTGCGCTCGCTCCCAGGGCCCGGTGCTCGGCGCAGGACCCAGGCGCCAAAGTGCAAAAAGTCCCCTGGAGAAAAGCCCTGGGCTGGCTGTGTATCCCGGCATCGCGTGGCGGTGGCTGGTGAGTGCGGGCCGGGGCCGGGGCCGGGGCCGGGGAAGGGGGAGACGGCCCGGGGCGGGGCAGGGCAGGGCAGGGCAGCGGGTCCCCCTCCGGGCGCTGCGGGACGAGGGCTTTCTGCTCCTCGCTCCGTGCCACAGCCGTGTCTGCAGGACTTTCCTCCCCCACCTCCGGGGACGGGCCTCCTCCGACGCCAAGGCTCCGCCAAGAGGCAGCGGGGAGCAGGGCACAGGGCGGCGCTCGCGGGGTTGGGGACCTGCTCCATCTAGCTCCCTCCTTCGCCCTTGGGGCTTCAGTCTGCCCCCGGCCCGCCACCAGACTTGCTTGCAGAGCGATGCCTGGCCGTGCTCCTGGCCGTGCCTGGGCAGGATCCCTTTGCAGGGTGGACTGCTGCCTACTGCAAGGGGAACCCTGCCCTTTCCAAGGAAACCCAGGCATGGCAGGGGGGGGGGGGGGGGCAGGCACCCACGGGCCCCTGGACCCAGGCCCCACTGGCTGGTATATTAATCCACCCACTGGTGACATGTAGTGGGGGGGTGTAGGTACACGTGCACCCTGTGAGATCAGCCGTGCACCCCCTGGAAGTGCCAGCCACGAAACCAGAAGTGCTGGCGTAAGTGCACTTCCATCGGCTGGGGGGGGGGGCCCCCCCCCCCCCACCTGGTTGGCAATCTGGGAAGCACCAGTCACCCATGAGTCCACCTCTGCACCTGTGGCTCCAGGGGCTGTAGACTGAGTGCTCCTGGCCCAGGCTATTGGTGAAGATTGAATTGTGCCTGGCTGTCAGAGCGCAGACAGCACAGGTCGGGGCACACGTACTCACGTGCCTGTAATGCCCCAGGGAATGGGGCAGGCTGGAGGATGGGCTGGCAGGGTGGGAGCATCATGGTGTGAGATGCAGTTGAGGGTTTTGGGGTGAGCAGGTAAGTAGGGGACCCCTAGAGCCAGAAGCCACAGGGTATGAAATCATTGCTGCAGTCACACTGTGCTGCCAACCCAAGACTTTTTAATGAAAATAAATAAATAAATGCCAGTAAAAATGTGTCGGGGTCCACAGAGGCATTAGGTCTAGTGGTTAGAGCCAGGGTGTAGTCAGGAGGGCAAGCCAAGATCAAAACGGGCTCATGTGACAAGCCAGAGGGATTACCAGGAGCAGAGGTCAGGGAACAGGCTGAGGTCAAACCAGGGTTCACAGGGTGACCAGAAATGGATGCGAGGAGAGGAGCTGAGATCAAACCGGGTTTCGAAGCTCAGGGACTGGGTGCATGGGCAGGAATACAGGAACAGGCGTCCGGGAAGTTGCACGGATGAGTGCTACACACAGCCTGAGGCCAGTTTAGTGCCGAGTGCTACAAGAGCTCCTGAAGAGCAGCCCTGCGACCAAGGGGCAGGCTCCCTCTGTCCCACTTTTAGGGATTGAGCATTGCTGGCCTACTTGCCTGGCTGCAGTGCAGAGGCCCCACAAAAAGCACCCTGTCTGGGGCAAATACGCAGATTGTCATTAAAAAAACAACTTCTTGAGTTAGCAACCTTGCCAGAGAGGCTCTACCCACAACAACTCCTGCAAAGCCGAAGCCGAGGGCCCTCGCATAGACGACCCCTACTTCGCGCTGCTGCTCCCAGCCAAAAGCACGGGTGCAACAAGCCCTGGTTCAGCACTGTGGTGGTTGTGCTCCCTCCTCCTTGTCACGTACCTGAGCACAGCCGGTTTTCAGGGCAGAAGTTGTCATGGTTGGGTTGCAGAGCGCCAGCACCTCCCGACTGGGACTGTGTGGTGCTATTGGAACTGGCGCTTCCTGCCTGCTCAGATGAAGGTCTGAGCACCGGGACAAAACCTCGGCCCTGTGAGTGACGGGCTTTGTGGCACTCACAGAGCTTTTCCTTCTCTAACAGGTTGGATCTGGTAGGTTGGACGTGAAGTCGCTGGTTGGAACGAAAGTGACCTCAAAGTGAAAATGTCCGTGAGAGCTGTGCTGGCTGTGACTGTCATTTCCTGCCTCCCTGCCCTGAGGGGTGAGTGGAGTTATTCCTCTTTCTTGCAAAGCTCAAGTCCAAAGCAAAGAGTGTCGGTCGTAGCCGTGTTGGTCTATAAGCAAAGGCTTCTTCTTAGAATCCTCACAGAAAATTAAAGGGGGGCAAAAACCCCTGCTTGCCCCCAGTCTCCCTGCCAGTGCTTCTCTACCTCTTCAGACTCGAGGCACCCTCCATCGCTTTTCTGAATTTATCAGTTCCCTGATTTAAAAACAGCTGGCTTGGTGTGCCTTGACACCGCATCCCTGCAATGCTCTGAGACACACAAGTGACCGATTTTTAACATAGTACAATAGTTGCATAAAACCAATGATGCTAAAAGCTATGCATATAATGGAGAACGATACCCTTGATATCCTTTGTAGAATTTTAACATCACTTGAGACATCCGAGACTTGACTTGCAGGGGGGTTAGGTAGTGTTAAGGAGACCGTAGCCAAGATGTTCCAGGAATTATGCAAGAGGCAAGAATTTCTCAGGGTGATGTCTCCTATTGGACCAACAGCAGAGTTGGGAAAGAGCTAGACGAGCTTTCAAATGCAAGACGGTCCTTTTCATGTCTTGCATTACAAAGCTTGTCAAATCTGACCAATTGCATAGTTGGGAGAGAGTAAGAGAGATCCCCTTAAGTATCCTTGCCCCTCACAAAAGGCTTTCTCACCTGCTTGAGAGGTGGCACAAAAGCTGGCAGTGTTTATTTATGCAAAGGAATCATTTGGCCGTGGCTATTTGATCACTGTTTTACCTTAACTTTCTCAGAGTAAAGATCACAGCAGTAATGTGGTAGTAAGATTTTAAGTGACACAGTGGTACAAGTATTTGTGTCTGACATCCTGTTTTCAATTAACTGCGCACAGTTTCACAGTTGGATCTGGTTGGGAAGCTTTCCTGGTCCAACCCCACAACCGTGTCCTAGAAACACAGGTGGGCAGGACAGTTTTTACTGAGCACCTTGCAGTCATACTTAGCAGTGTGTTTAACCCGGGGTTGCCATCTCGGCTATGGCAGCATTTTCCCTAGAACTGTTAGGTACCTATTCCATGCCCCTAGTTTGTAGCTGACTTGGGGATCCCTGAAACAGGAGAAACCCCTGGTCTAGGGAAAATTGTGACACTGATAACATCCAAAGTGTAGGTGAGTGCACAGCATGGGCAGAAGGCTTTCTAAACTTCCCGACTTTACAGTAATCTCAGCATGGGACAGAGGCATGTGAAGACCAAAGTAAGTTTCGACCCTGCCCCTTTTTCAAGCAGAGGACAGACTATTAAATCACCAGTGCAGTTAGGACCAGATACTTCAAAGCAAATGAAACATAAACATATCTGACCAAAACCCACTGGAGTGTCACTCTGTCCAGCTGTTTACCAAAAGGCAATTGTCAGTGTTCCTCCCAAAGTGAATCCACGGTAAGATCTTGATCAGTCACAGTCCTTTATATGTTAGAGGAAAAGGTGGTGCATTAGGAGAAGCAAATCCAGGTTAAAATGACAGTGGTGACTTTCTCTCCTCCAGGATCCACCATGATCCTGGCAGATGCTGGCACAGATGTGCTCCTGCCCTGCAATGTGCAACACCAAGGCGGCTTCAATCTTTTGGACGTCACTATCAACTGGGAGCGTCCTGACACCATCGTGTGCAGCTTCTACCATGGCAGCAGACAGCTAGAGCATCAAGACGAGAGGTTTAGGGGCAGGACCCAGCTCTTCCCAAACAAATTTTCAAAGGGCAACGCCTCCCTCCTACTGCAGAGAGTCAACCTAGCTGACACCGGGAATTACTCCTGCAATGCTGTTCTCTGGGCCAACACCCAGCTCACTGTTCACACAATGTTCCTCCAAGTGACAGGTAGGACAGTCATTCTCCCCTCTAATCCATGCTGTCATTAGGGTACAGAATGCAGCAACCCTTGGCCTTGGGACTTCTCTGCGCAGAGAAGCAGCAGGCAAACTGCATCCCAGACTTTTCTGCTCCTTGCCTTGGTCTCCACATGAAGCAGACCTCTGCAGGCATTGTGCTGTTCCTCTTTGGACACATACCGGTGGGGCCTGAGAGCTGAGCTGTGCTTTCTCACCCGCACCCCCAAAAGGCTGCAGCAGAGACTCCTGCAGGGGCCTCTCTGCAGTTCTCTGAGCTGCTTTTGGGGAGACACCTTCTTCAGCTAGGGCTTTCTTCCTCTCCTGGTCACTAGTTCTTTCTGAAGCGGGCAGCCTGGCCTCCTGTGGGGTCATGAAAAGGCAGCCCCTTCTGCTCCTCATTGGTTATATCAATCTGTTGGGTGCAGGGACGGGGGAAAGGTGGTGCTTAAAGACCCCTTGGCCCAACACAATGGGCCATTCAGTAGGGTGGTGTGTTGGCCTGGCTACATTTGGGTCTGTGTGTTCCCAGGTGTTTGAGGCCTGCCTGGTGACCTTCTCTTTCCTACAGCAGCACTACCTCCTCACCCCCTGGGTTGTTTTTTTTTTTCCCCCTGGGCAAGAAGAGCAGAGCCAAGCACACTCTGACCATGTCCTCGTGTTCCCAGGAGGCCTCCTGTGGCAGGAAGTCTGGGGGGAGGGGGAAGACCTGGAGCCATTCCTAGAGGGAGACAGCAGCCCTCCCAAACTGTAGGCACTACAATGCCTCTCTGGCAGGCCCCTCTAATTCCCACCCTGTGATTTGGGTGCAGCATGCAATCTGGTTGCTGGAGTTTGTGGGCATGTTGAGATGAATGCACAAGTGCTGTTTGCAGTACCTCAGTACATGTGCAGCTATTCGCCACACTGCTAATCTTCAGTGCAGTACCAACATTTTACACTGGGAGATCTCAATGGCAAAAAAACCACTGCAAAAAAGCAGCACAGGACATGTGGCAGCAGCGTGCACCACCAAAAATGGAACCTGGCTGCCCAGAGCCATGTGCTGGCTGCTGGCTAAGCTCCCTGCGGCCAGATCAGTGCCACTGCTGCCCTGGCAGGCCCCCAGGACTCCAGGTAATTCTGCTTGGGCCAGCACAGGTGCTGACCCCATCTTCTTCCCACCCAGGAAAACTTGGCGCACTCCAAAGCACACGTGCAGAGGTGTGCTGCCATTTGTGCCACGGCAAATGTACGCCCTGCATGTAGGGACGCGCTCTGTAACCCTAATGTGCTAACAAAGGGGTCAAGGACCTTTTTTGGAGCCTCCTCTAGCCTTTGGCAGCTCTCCACTCCCCATTTACTTCTCTGTCACCAAGCCACCCTGCTCTGCCTCCCTTTAATACCTCACCCATCGCCCACAGGTACAGGTCACCTTCTCTACCGCAAAGCCAACTAGAGCACCCAGCTCATACACTTGGGGTTCTTTGGTAACAGCACAGTATTTCCCATCTGCCACGTTGGCTGTTGGCAGGAGTGCCAAACGCAGGCTCAGGACCTGGCTCTAGTTCCTAGCTCTGTAACTTCCCTTCTGGGTGACCTTGAGCAGGCTCAGAAGTGAAGCCACCTGCATTTTCCCCACAACAAAACTGAGGCCTTTGAAATGGGCTCATCGGTTTCCCCAGAACAGATAAAATAGCCCCTGTGGAAGGAAACACCAGAATACTTCTGTCCCCACTGGAATCCCATGCAGCCATTAGGTGCCGGCTGGGGGTGTCTGAGAGCAGGCCTGGACTGGGGAGATCTGGAAACGCCTCAACCAGCCACAAAAGTGCCCTGGGTCCCAGGCATGCGGCTGGGCCAGTGGAAGAGGCTGGAGTGTCTGAGCTGGATCCACTTCTGGGCTTAAGAGGAACCTCCCCCTGAATGCGTCCTCGCACCTGACCCCCTCCCACGACAGGCCCCAGTGCTGGGGGTTCAACATCTTCTATGGCATTTTCTCTCCAGCCCACCTCTGTTCCAGCCTTTTTGAGTTTTGTATAAGTGAATGTGCCACAGTCTATGCAGAAATTAATAAGAAGCTGGAGGTGGTGCTGGAGCTGCTCCTGCTTGGGTGAGGGAGACAGAGGAGAGGCTGTCTCTCTTCACCTGGCTTGCTGTTTCGCAGGGAACGGGCTTGCTGTCACACTGCTGGGAGCCGTGCACTGTCTCCCTGCCATCCTGCTGCTGCTGTGGTACACGTAGTGAGTCTTCCTGCATAGGTGAGTTGAGTGGGACACAAGCAATGCCCATTAGGCTCCACCAGCTCCCGCATCTGGAAGTATTTGCTCATACCCGCCTGGCATGTGATTAACTGAGGTGGCACTCTCAGGCAGGGCATGGGTGTCTCGTCATCAGAAGTCAATTGGTGCCCTGGTCCAGTGCACTGACTCCTCCCAAACCCCTCTTCTAGGGAAAATTTCAGGGGAGTACATGGGCAATAGAGACTTCATGGTCTTTCTATCCCCACCCCCCACCTCAGTTTTCCACCCTTTTGTGCGTGCTACAGTTATAGATGAGGCTCCCCTTCTCTGAGCAGCTGCAGGTGGACAAGAGAAAGTAGAGGAGCCACAATGGGAGGCTGGTGGTCATTGTGAGCCACTGTGTAGTGTTGCCAAAGTTCCCCCCAGGTGTGAGACCTGGCTGAATGGGTTGCTGGCTCCGAGTGGTGACTCTGAGGTAATGGGCACTAGTCCTTTAATGTGGCCAGGCCCAATGGCAGGAGTAAAGCCCCTGGGAGCTGTGACCACAACTCCTCGGTTGTGGGTCAGGGGGGGAAATACAGGCTGGCTGGTCTGGCAGCCTCTCACCTCCAGTAATGCAGCTCTGCTTGTTTTCAGCCCAGATGCAAACACTGAGTCGAGGAGCCCTGAGCACTGAGAAACCCAAAGTACCTATGGCTTCAGCTTCCAATGAATCTCCACTGCACATGATCTATCAGTTGCTGTGACTGCCCTGGATTAATGCTTTGAATGATACAGTGTTTGCTTAGAGGAGCTGCTGCAGGAATTCCTCTTGCGATTTCACAATTTGAGCATATGTGTATGTATGTGTATATATGTGTATATATATATGTGTGTATATGTGTGTGTGTGTGTGTATATATATGTGTGTGTATGTGTATATATGTGTGTATATATGTGTATATATGTATATGTGTGTGTTCAAAATTTAAGAATTGGCATATATATTCATCTTATAAAAAGTCTATGTATAAAGATGAATATATATCCCAATTACTACATTAGAACATGTGTGTGTATAAGTTCAAATTAAGAATCGTGTTGAGATCTTAGCGCTCTCAAAGTTCCTTTCAGCCCTTATGGATCTATATTAGATTTGTTTTTATTTATATAGTAGAATAGGTATATCTACATTTTAGATATTGCATATATAGATAGATAGATATCTATATCTATCTATAGATATATGTATATCAGGCTTGTTTTGTAAGGAGAATAGATAGATAGATATTAATCTATTTAAATGCAATTGGATTTTAAAGAAAATTATATGCACTCTAACTTATCAATTGAGTATTTAAATTGATCACACCTATTTAGCTATAAAATAGAGATATCACTTTCATAGATTTCATAGACATCAGGGCTGGAAGGGACCTCGGAAGATCATCGAGTCCAGCCCCCTGCCCAAAGGGCAGGAAGTCAGCTGGGTTCATAGGATCCCAGCAAGATGAGCATCCAGTTTGCTCTTGAAGGTGTTCAATGTAGGCGCTTGAACCACCTCCGGTGGCAGGCTGTTCCAGACCTTGGGGGCTCGGACAGTAAAGAAATTCTTCCTTATGTCCAGCCTGAAACGGTCTTGTAGTAGTTTATGACCGTTCGACCTCGTCATCCCTTGGGGCGCTCTGGTGAACAAACGTTCCCCCAGATGCTGGTGGTCACCCCTGATAAACTTGTAGGTGGCCATCAGATCACCCCTGAGCCTGCGCTTTTCCAGGCTAGAGAGCCCCATGGCTCTCAGCCTGTCATCGTAGGGTCTGCTTCCCTGACCTCTGATCATGTGCGTGGCTCTTCTCTGGACTCTCTCAAGCCTCCACATCCTTTTTGAATTGTGGAGCCCAAAACTGGACGCAGTACTCCAGCTGTGGCCTCACCAAGGCCGAGTTCAAGGGGAGAATGACGTCCTGGGATTTGCTTGAGAAGCATCTATGGATGCAAGCCAGCGTTTTGGTCGCTTTACTAGCTGCAGCATCGCACTGCAGGCTCATGTTCATCTTGTGGTCAATGATGACCCCCAAGTCTCTTTCTTCC